ACCACGGGGAGGTAAGTCTATCGCAAACCCCATATTTAGATAGTAGTTTTAGACATATAATAAGCGATTGACTACCTGTCTAGCCAATAGGTGCTTCAATAGTGGTTTGACAATTCCAGGTACGAGCGTAAAAAAACTACTATTGATTATCCATTATATGAGAGAGATGAAGCTTGTAAAGTTCTCCCAAGAGCTATGAAAACGCTTCATTTGACATCCCAATACACCCTCCTATATGNTACTGTATGGGCTTCTAGGCTAATTAGTAATAAATTTTNCTCAGGAAGAAGACCTTAAACCCAAAAGCATTTTTATATTTAGATAGTATTATTTATATCAAATGACAGGCGTTTTGATAGTTATCATTAGCCCTTTTGTTGACTTCAGGCTTCACAGAGGAGAGAAGAAACATCAAAGCGAAAAGTATTCAAGAGGGGGGAGGGGAACAGAAGAGTGTTTCAAAAATGTAACAGAGACAGACACAACGTTAGTAAAAAGGTGAGGTGAGTACGGTTGAAGTAGTCGAATTTTACATACAATGGGGTGATGGTAGTTTGAAGTCAGAAGTCAACTGCCAGTTAATAGACTTTTTTGCCGTATGAGTATACGTTGCCCAGGATGCACCACGGGGAGGTAAGTCTATCGCAAACCCCATATTTAGATAGTAGTTTTAGACATATAATAAGCGATTGACTACCTGTCTAGCCAATAGGTGCTTCAATAGTGGTTTGACAATTCCAGGTACGAGCGTAAAAAAACTACTATTGATTATCCATTATATGAGAGAGATGAAGCTTGTAAAGTTCTCCCAAGAGCTATGAAAACGCTTCATTTGACATCCCAATACACCCTCCTATATGGTTCTCTTTACATCATTTCAAGGACCATTCCTCCAAACATAGTTTGCATAACCTAAAAACAACCAAAACCATGGCCGATATTTTACCTCTTCCAGGTACCATCAAATCAACGCGCTCACAGAGTTGATAGAGCCAACTTTAAGTGGGAGTTTATTTTGGCATAAAGAAGGGGAAATGTGGATGCCACAGGATTCTCGATGACGTTAAAGGTCAAAACCACTCTA